TTCAACTTCATCTTCATTACTTTCAAAATCAGCAGCAGCTCCTTTTTCTTTTTGAATACTTTTTCTTTCAAAAATAACACAAGGATTTTTCTTTATCTCCTGGTACAATAAAGACAAACAACGGGAACAAATGTAATGGCCCACGAAAGCACGGAAAGCTGGATTCCAATTCTCCGTAACTAATTTTAATTTTGTATAAACATTGTTGTGGTTTTTTCTGTGTTTAGGATTGCAGCAGGAATAGGGCTTCGGCATGGTAACAACTTTTCACACGAATCGTACACTATTCATTAATTACGGAACGAAAAAATAGGGTTTAGATTCACCTCCCGCTCACAAAAAAACTAATGAATCTGCAACAAATACAACAAATTTCATTCTGCATATACACATACATATATCAGAATTCAAAGCCAACTGTGATCTACAGTAGAAAAATCAGTTATAGATTTTGTTCATGCGTTACATCGATCAAAATGCGCAACACCCTCGACAAAAAAAAACTCAGTATATGCACTGCGATCAAAAAAAACGCTGTAGCTTAAACAAAAAAAGAGTTGAACAAAATTTTTTTTTCTCCCAATTAAGAGCCAGTGACTGTTAACCTTAATTTATTTTGTGCGAATAAAATCGGAGCCCCAGAAGTTAAAAAAAAAAAATTGTTTCTGAAGAAATGTAATAATAATTATATATAAAAATAAAAAATTACAAAAACTACTACAATTTTTATATCGTCAGACAATTTTTAAAGTTTTCGCGTAAAACGAATAAGATTATCTTCAACTGCTAATAAATAAAGTAGCTTTTAGTAAAAGCTTGCATAAAAAAATAATTGCATATAACTGGCATACTATTTGCACTAGAGCCAAAAAATTTTGCACAGCATCATATTACAATAACACCTATCTAAAATTAATGAAAAAATCTATGGATAATCATTTTCAATTTTGGGGGTCCCACTTGAGAAAATTTTACTCTCATGTAAATTGCCTATTAGTTTTCTATGTAGGATACGATTGTTTCTGATATAATTCAGACACTGAATTTACACATTTCGATGCCTTTCAAGTAACTTGAAAACGGAATTTACTTTGGGCCCATTGGCCTCATGACTTTCAGAGAAGTGAGTATTATCCAATTCTAGTATATTTCGACGATATCGTTGTTTCTTTGCGTAAAAATAAAAATATTTTACTGTTCAATGTTGGAGGGGGTGTGAACCAACATTGATGATTTATTATTAGTATGAAAACTAGAAACACAACTATCATCTTATTGAGCCTTAGACCTCTTCTCTTTCAAAAACAAAAGGGGAAATGTTCGGTTATTTACGCACCGGTTTTGGGGTGGGGAACGGAGACGGAGGGGGGATTCATTGAAAAATGGGGTAAAATTAACATTTTGACAGAGAAAATGTAAGTCCAACTCCGGCTACGCTGACCACAGTATTTTTTACAAAAAAGACCATATTTCAAACCGAATTTATTCATAAATTTGTATCTGAAAATTTTAAATCTTTATTTTAAACTAACGTTTAATTGTTTGACCACACGTGTGTGCAAAATTTTTTTTGCCCTGGGTAAAGCGTTTGGACACAATGGGACGTATGCATAAAACCTAAGCAAATGCTTTTTCTTAAAATTTCAGACCTTGTACTCAAGTTGTTCAAATAAATTTAAGTGAAAAATATATTTTAAGAAAAAGCAATTGCTCAGTTTTTATGCATACGGCCCAATAACCCAATACTATTGTACAAGTAAAATACCTTTTGCCTGTTCAAATTTCGATTCTAAGAACAAAATGTTAGTAAATAAACAAACAAATAATAACACAATTTTTACGATTTTAAATGTCACAATCTACTTAATTGTCATGATTCAAACAACAGTTTTCTCGCTCCCTCTTGACAAAATCTCCCCCTTAGCAAGGCACTGTTTGTGGGTTCGTGTGTGTGTGCAAAGCTTTTGTAAGGGAGCTAAGGAGTGTCATAACTCTAATGTCACTAATGAGCAAACCTTTAATTATTTAATCATGCTTAATTGTCAGGTTGTTAATATGGAGACGAAAAAGCGACAATGGTACTACCTTCTTTTTTGTATCATGGTAAAATGGACAAATTTACACAAACAAATATAGAATGAAAAAATAATAAAAAATATGTCAGCACTGAAAAAAAATTTATATTATAAATTGATTTAATATTCGCATTTACTGAAAGTGAACACGAAATTTATTGAAAAAAAAACACATGGCGTTCATTTAAGTGGGGAAGCGCGAAATCTTTTTTGAATTTTTTAGTGCAAAGCGTATTAAACGAATGACGAAATATTACTTGCCATCAAAACTTTTTGGAAATTTTCAAAGGAGATATAGAAAATGTTTGATTTCCAATCTGAATACAATACAGATCCCTGGGAGCATCACACCACGTAAAGTTGATAGGATTGCAGATATTCTTCCCACGCCGGATTGCAGGAAAAATAAATTTCGCGACTTGGAGGGAAAATGTCAACAAATGGCCGGCAAACTTCGCACAAAAAATTAAATAAAATTATAAATCAATGCTGGAGAAACTCCAATATCCTGTCCACACTAGATTTAAGGTGCCTTTTTAAATTTTATTGCATATTGCCTCAATGGTGCTATCAATTATTAACGCTTTAAAGTTGGACTTTTAAAGGAGAGGAGTATCCCAAGGATACCAATGAAAATGTAAAATTTGTTTTAAACTAATTGATAAACTCTGGAGGTGGAGGAACATTTGGAATTTTCCTGGGAGTAAAAGCATCCGTTTTAAAAGCTTTAATTTCGTCAGGTGTTAGATCCGCCAATTTACTGTAAACAGAACTGCTTACTAACGGTGATTGCAATAGAGCCTGAGATGAGGTGTTTTCACCCACTTGCTTCCCGAAAGCAGTTGACTGATTTGAACGAGGGATTTGTAGGAAAAAATTTGTAGGTGGTTCCATTGAAACAGAAGTCGTTGCAATTGTTTCGTCAGGTTGAGAAAAAATGTTTGCAGGTGTATTCTGATTTTGACACAATGCCTGGACGAATACGCTTTGTGAGGGTATTGCTTCTGTATTAGTAAAATGTGCTGTGCCATTTGGTGCGCTCAGCGATTGAGCAAATAAATTATTTAAGTTGGCAGAAGACGTAGTTTGTGCCACTTGACCAAATATGCAACCAGGGGTTTGTTGTGAAAAAACATTTTGCTGTACAAAAACTGATTGCGCCTCCCGTTTGTTGCTCTGGTACATGCCAAAATTCGGCGGAGTTTGCATTTGTTGAGATTGCGTGGATTGGGTAAAAACGTTTCCCCCATTTGTTATTTGATGCTTCTGAATGCTTTGGTTAAATAAACTACCACCTGCGTTCTGTTGAGCTTGGGAATAACACAAACCTACGATGGACGAAGATTGAATTTGATGCTGCTGTAGTAATGATTGGCTGAACAAACCTCCGGTCCCTTGCTGCGCGCGCCCAAAACGTCCAACAGTAACATCAGTACTTGTCAGCGTTTGACCAAATAGATTTTGTTGGGCGCCTCCTCCGAATATGGAACTAGCATTTGGAAGTTTTTGAGAAAAAACTGAAGACTGCTGATTTTGAAAATTAAAAGCTGACCGACCTCCACCAAAGATTACTCCAGGAGTCGAAGGTGCCACATCGCCATATACGCATCCGGCATTGGTAGTATGACCATGATCGTTAAAAGCATCACCAAAATTTTTATTACTGCTGGATGTAGCGCCAGGTTTTTTAAATATCAATGCTGTGTCACTGGCAACGCTAGTTTCAAGGCCAAATGGATTAGTTTTATTACTTTTAGTCAACCCCACATTTGTGGCGGCTTCTGAAGTTGCATCATACAATCGGCATATAATATCTACTACATGGGGTGATATCTGCGCAATTGTTTTCATTTTATTATTAGCTTCAATAGCTTCTTTGGCGAATTGTTTAACGAAATGATTGAAACAGTTTTTTTTTAGCTTTATAACATATCCATCGTATTTCGTCAAAGTACTGATCTTCTATAAAATTTGGAACACAAGGTTTATCCTTAAAAGATCCAAAACAAGACAATGGCCATTGTTTGCCATTACAAGCTGTTTCCAAATCGGTTTTAACGAGTTGTCTATAAAGGTATGTAGGAATATATGCATACATATAATAATTTTAACATTTTTAAACTAAGTACTTAATATCTAAATGTTCGTTGTTGCATTTCGTTCCAAACCGGCAGGCATTGTATAGGCTTACAAGTATGGAAAGCGCCATTTTGTTTGTTTACACTTGAAAACAGCTGAGATCGCCTAATTTTCAATTCTCTCATTCTCCGCACAGAGTTACATTCAAGTTTCAGAAAAAACTTTAAAATGTAAATTGAGAAATATTTTAGAAAAATGTGTTTTTATTCATTTGAATTCAATAAAAAAGAAATTAAAAATGCGTGCCAAGTCTTGCATTTCCAATAATAACGATAAGCCTGTATGTTCCAGGCAATAATTTAAAATATTTGTGAAAGTTACCGTTTTGCGCTAAAATACAACAATGTGTGTAAAATTCGTTGTCATTGCTTCTGTTTTGAATATCATATTCGTGCCTGCCGGTGGAAAAAATAGGTAAATTTGCATTTATTATCAAGAAAACATATCAGTTAAAATATATTTCTTTCCAGAGCGACATACGGACAAGTAAGATGATAAATTTGTATGATGAATATCGCGGAAAAACTTTTGTATCAAAATTTCTATTCTAATTTGCATTTGAATTATGATATGAACAGGGATGATTTGGGACGTATTTTTTTAAGACAATTTTCTTATAAACCTTGAGATTGTTGATTTATTTTAGAATTAAAAAAGGTAGTTTATATTAAAAAATATATTTACACTAGCAGTATGTAAATTACTTTTATTACGAATTGAAACGATTTTAATGAATATTCATAGTTACCATTAATAGTAGTATGACAGTTAGATCTAAATGCATATTTGACAAGAAAGATAGAATACAAGATTGCGCCGTCCTGGCGGCGATGACATATCTGTACAAAAAGTAACAAAAGTCGATTTGGATGTTGAAAGAAAATGTGAGAACAGAAAATTTTCTTAATAATAAATTTTTCGATAAGGAACGTGTTTTGATTGTGATAATTTGTAATAGCCTTATTCATAAACAATAAAGTAGCTTAAAAAAAGGCTTATAAATTGAAAAATGTTTGCAAACGGCAATTTATAGCGCTTTTTAAAATTTTTATTTTTTATGAATAAGGTGATAAAAAGATATGATTTACAATAGCTTTTAACAAAGGAAATACGAAATAAGGTGATTTTTGCGGAAGTGGGTATTAGTGAATTTCAGTGCATTTTAAGTTTCTGAGGTTTCGTTTACTTTTAGCTCAGAATTGTCAAAATTGAGAAATTCAAAGTAGCGATACAATAATCATAGAAAAAAAGATTGCGCCCTGCTGTGATGATGAGTAAATTTACCACAATGAGGAAAAATATAACAATTAAGTGAAAAAATTTTATTTTTACAAATTTAGTGAGCAGTAACGCCTTTCAAGAACGATATTTCAGACAAATCGTTAATGAACAACTATTTTTCCTTCCCGTCTGCTTTGGTTTTGACAAAAAAGTTGATAAGCTCCTGCCGGCGATCAAGTCATTTCAACCATAAAATAATATTATTTGCAAGAACCATTCACTAAAATTGTAACTAACTTTTTATTATTTATTACTTCCTTTTTGATATTCAGCAAAAACAAGATGGAAAAAGATTATAAACCAAAATTAGTAATATTTTTAAGAATGTTGTTATAAAAGTTCACAGAGGAAACGCCGGAAAACAATGTATTGGCAACAACATAAAATTTATGGCAATTTAGATGTCAACAGAATAATAACTACGATAAAAAAGCATGAGAGAAGTGTGCGAGAAACGGTCAACAAATTTCTTATAAAATATTTTGATTTTTGCTGGGTGTAAATGAAAACTCAATGAGTATTAAGGAAAAGAAAAATTTTAAAATAATAAACAGAAAAAGAGATGGGTGCACAAAAACTTTAGTTAAATTTTTTTCCCAAATTCTTAAAAAGTAAACAAATCGATTTTTTAATGTTACTTTACATCTATTTTCTTTTTTAAGAATAAGGTCATAAGCATGTACCGTTTTTATAAACAAATCTTATAGCAATATGCTATATATTTATTTATACACTTTTTGGCTGGCGAAATATGTAATTTTTCAACTTAATAGAAAATCGTATTTAACCACATTACTTTTTTTAATATTGAATGGCGCAACACAACAACTCTTTTTGTTGCACGAAACCCTTGAACACGTGCCAGTCATCTATTTCTTCTGTTTCGACATTTCGGTATTTTGCATTTCTTTCATTTTGACGTCATTCGCATTGTCAGATTTTTGAAATTCGTTTTGGTTCGATATTCTGCTATTTCATAATTCTTTCATTCTCATGTCATCCATCTTCCATTTCTTACCTTCCATTGCCGTTCGCATCGTCGAACGTGCCTGTCAAACACTGCCGCCATCATGCTTTTCAGTTTGGCAGGCACGTCCGCGGTTAGAAAGAGAATAGACAGAAAGGGGCATAGGATTCCATACTTGATGCCGGCAGGTCCCCAGAAGAAAAAACCTACAAATAGCCATTTTCAAACTTCAGATATGAAAAGAAAGCAAATATTGCAAATATAGGAATGTCAGAAAAACATCAATGCAAAGAAAACATCGATCATAATTAGACATGGGAAAATTCGATATTCGATGCTTCGAGATTCGAATTTTAATCGAATTTTAGCTTCAAAATGGCGAATTTTTCAAATCGAACTTTATGGTGCTAATGGGTTGTTTTTGCTTACGCGTAAAAGCACATTTACCGCATTTAGATCTGAATGCTACTCTAAATGTACATTTATCCATACAAAATTCGGCACCTAAATGCGACTCCGTGATGCAATAATACAAGTTGGTATCAGTTGTGACAGCTCGATTTGATACTGCTTTAGCTCAGTAGAATAAGAAGAAAAAATGGACGAAATTAACCCCCATTTGGGGGAAAAATATAAAATTTCATGTTTTCTTCTAAACAAAATTTACTTTTTTTATAGTATATTCGTAATGAATTGAAATAAAATAAAATAAAATACCTTTTTGAGAAAACAAAATGTGTATACTGAGAAAAAAAAATCCAACTATATTATTAGGCAAAGAATTGTTAAAGAAATGACACTATTTCACCTAAGGCAGTCAATATGGCGGTATTAGAGCGAGAAGTTGCCAACAGATAACACCTGGTATTATTGCATCATGATGCAACTCCATTTTTGCACTAAGAATCTAAAAGCTCAAAACAACCCTGTGATCTTCCAAAATTTCCTCGATTCGAACATGGTTTAATGAGGAAAAGTGGCAACATTGCTTTTTCGCGTATACAGTGGCTAGCTGCGTTCCAGTGATCGCCGATCGAGATTTCATTTATTATTTTACATTATTTGGATAAAGAAAAGTTAGAAAGATAGTAATCTGGATCAATTTGAGATCAACTCTGTTTGTTTCGCTTCCTAATTAAGTGAGGAAATTTTAATTGACAGCACCGACAAGTTTTTGTATTGAATTTTTGGTTTAAAATTTATTTTTTCCTTTTGAGTAGGGTTTTTTGCACATTATCTTCTGCGTGAGAGTTGATCGTAATAGATACGGATCTGAATAAGCGAATGGAACACGGCTTTTTGTCAAAAGCATACGATTTCGAAGTCGCGCAAATGAACATTTGCCAAATGCGATAGCATGAACGCTCTTCGAATACATATGTTCGATAGTGCTAAATGTTGCGTTTTAAATGCAGCAAAAACGCTGCATAAAACTTGGATGGAATCGAATTTTGGTAGGCAGGGGGTTGGTTAAAGGGACGGTGGGCGAAGGGAGAGTGAGCGTGCCGTCCCCATCTTAGAGAGGGCATGAACCGCCATTGACAAAACTGAAACCCCCGACCACCTAGGCCCCCTGTTGGTCCCAAGGGACCCATTGGAAAACGCCTTAATAGCACATTAAAATGGCATGCCTATGAACCAGTCTGAAGGCCTGTGTTTCGAATCGAGGAGCACATACAGTGGCTAAAATATAAATTAGGATTTTACATTTTAGCAAAGTTTGGCTATTTTTCTTTTGTTTATTTAATGTTTATTATATTCTTTTTTTAAGTAAAGCTCTTTTCCTAACAAAAACAATATAAATCTAAATTTCCGACTTTGT